TAGCAGGACAGAGAACGATTTTTTATTGCTTTGTTGACAAGGATATTAAACTTATCTGTATATGAGATACGATGTCGAATATCATAGATCTTCTATTGATACAAAAATCATTTATAATAATTATCTTAATAAATCTTATTATATATTTTCCAGTAGAAATGATACGTAACAAATAACTATCATTAATTTTATTTTGATCAATAGTGGAATTACATAAATTTATGTTTCTTGTAAAGCTTTAGAATACTCTACATATATCAAAGTTAATAGTAAAATTGAAGAGTTAATTGATGAGGGAAACCATAGATTTTGAACTTATATTTTGAATATATAAACACTATCTCTAAACTAGAATTATCTGAAAAGAATTCGGAGTCATAGGTCTTCTCCACAATGTTACGATAGTCTTACTAACTTCTTACGATATGACGGACTATTGACAGGAAGTCTACAAGTAGATTTCATCACCTTAAGAGTATACTAAACATTTCAATTGACAAGCTTGTTTCTCTCTCAAGATATTCCACATTACAAAAAAACTTGATTTTGCTATCCGATTTATAAATTTAATCAGTTTTTGAAAATAGAATATCTCAAAAGGAAAGCAATCACGTTGACTGAAACCTATATGATATTCTTAGAATGATGAAAACTACTTAGAGACAAAATTTCACATGAAAAAAATCCTTTGTTCGAATTCCTGGTCCTATTGTAGAAATCCAATTAAACCCTTGTCACTCTGTAGAGAAAGTTTGTGAACTGGAATCCTTTTTAATTCATCCTAGCTTAGCACTCGTCTCTATTTGCTGAAAACATGAGTTCACAAATGATAAATTACTTCGTGGAGTTTTCTTCTGATTGATCCTGCAATAGATATATGGCTGTAATTATATGTGGCCAAGTGTTTGCAGTCTTACAGAGGAAGTCTTTCAACTGATCAATTCCTTTTGAACTGGAACTATGTGCGTCATGTAGATTTTAGTGAGCTATGAATATCCGAAAAAGAGCTCGAGCTAATAGCTTATTGCTGTCGTGATATTGTACTAGTAGAATATCGTGATTCTCCCTCAGAAACATCAGAAACATTGAGTTTTGAATACCAACATAAAACTTTGTACAAAGATAGGCATTAACAAGAATATCTTATTTTGAAAATTTCAGATTTTTCGGTTGCGTCTGTTCTGGAATAAGAATATCGGAATTCGCCGTTGTATATGAGCAGCGTGAAAAACATGATTTTACTATAGTCATATCTTAGAATAGAAGCAATCAAAAGATCTGAAACTTTTACAATAAACTATTTTCGTTAACGTGTGTCTCTATGTAAAGGTTCAAGTCAAAGTTCGAAAATCATTTTTTCTCAGGGTGACCATGGTAGGAAGCTAAAGGTCCAAATTTTTTTATTATTATTTTGGATTCGGGTGCAAAATTTTATTTTTTGCCGGACTCGGTTACCCGTTTTGATGGACCGGCAACTTCCTAGATGAGAGATGCAACAACAAGGTATAACTGAACGTTGAATCTTTCTTTGAGAGTAGCGAATAAATAGCTAAAACCTTGATCATACCCTTGTTCATGTGCACGGAGGGTGCCAGATATTGATGGAAAAAATCTCGGGTTGGGGCCTGATGAAGCCTAGGTCCAAATTTTTAATTTTCTTTCGGTTCCGGGTCCACAAAAACGTGGATCCACAGCTTCCTACATCATGGCATTTATTTTACTAAATATCGTAAAAATACAGTATCTACACAGCAATAAGCTCAATAGCCAGAACTCTTCAGCGTATTCATTATTCTGTAGAATCTGCATGATGTACATAGCACCAGCTCAAGAGCGATTAATCAGTTAGGAGATTTACTTCATGAGTTAGTAATAATTATTGCAAATCTACAATTCCATTTGATATCTTTGTTTAGGTCTTCTGCATGAATTATTTTCTCATCTTGATGATTCTGATATTGATGATGTATTAATTGGTCTGGCAACAACAATTGAAGAACATCATCGTTCACGTCTTCTTGTTGCATCAGCATTATTTGAATTAGCTCATGATTATTCATCTTGTATACGTCTTGCATCTGAATATATTGCACAATTAATTCTTGATCGTTTATTAATATCATCATCAACATTATCACCATTTCCATTTATTTATGAATTAGCTCAACGTCTTCAAATTTTATCAAAAATAAAACATGATGATAATCAACAAAATTATTTTCTTTTATTAGATATTTATGCATTTGTTGATTATTATCTTCGTGTTGAACAACATGAACGAGCATTTCTAGTTTTACGTCAATTAAAATTATTTCCATATGGTAAAGATTATAATGATGATGAACAAGCTAGACAATTATTTGCATCAAATAAATGGGTAAAAATATTTATTGAAAATAAAAAAAAGAAAATTTATTTATTTATTTATTTGAATATTATTTTAGCTTCAACAATTATTTCCTCATCTTTGTTTAGCTGCACTTCGTACTCATTTATTAGTTATACAACATGGAACAAGTTCAAATTTAACTGAAGAAGAAAAACATCAATATGAATTTTATCGTCATACAGCTTCTATTGATTTAACACATCTTGCTGAATTTGCACATATGCAATCTCAATCATTTACACGAACTCAATTACGTTCTATTGATCGACTTTGTGAACAAGCAAATCAATATTATGATCAAGATATGTCATTTCATTAATTATTTAAAAAATGTAATAAATATATACATTTTTCTTTTTTGATCATCTTCATCACTATTTAATGAAAATTAGGAAAATTGTCTTTGAAACATGTCGAGTTTTTTTTTTCTTTACTGAATTTTTGTTATTTCCATGTTTTTCAAATAAGACAAGAAAAATAAAATGTATAGAATGAAACGTGCAACATACGTAATCAATGCATTTTCATTATTTGAAATCAGTTTGTTGATTATCAATTTGAACAAAATCTTCAATTGAATCAATGTTATATAAACTTGATTGAAGCCTTTTTTTTTTAAATATTTCTTCTTACATTTTAGAGGTCTTTTTATTATTGAAAGAGATTTTCGATTTCTCTTAAAAAGTACATAGGATGAAAATGATTTTTATTTTGTTTATAAAATAGTGTAAAAAAACTAAGTCAACATTTTATCTAGCGCTAGGTCAGCAAATTGGATTTGTTCTCTCTTCTTATCAAGGCTTGCGAACTATGTGATTGTCTTTTCTATTCATCTATCATATAAAGCAATTTTCGAGCAATGAATGTTATATGGGTAAATTAATATTCAATATCTTGACTTGTGTTCAACTAATCTTTATAATTTTTTCACATTAGGCTCCTCTATTAAGTCTTTATTACTACTCAATAAAACCAGAGATTTATCTTAGATAAATCGTAAGAAGATTAAGTCTAAAAGATCGGTTTTTTGCTGTCGTCTACTGTTATAAAATGTCGTATAACCGATTTCTTTTTTTCTTGTTTAAATTTTGTAAGCTAGCAGAACTAGAGAAAAACAATCAGCACTTTTCGAATATAAGACTAATTGGCATCTTTATCACTACTGTTCAATTTTCTGTCACGCCAGATTTTTCATTTTCTTCTATCTATACTTCTCTTATGATATTAGAGTTTGAGATGAAAATTTGGTAATTTTATCAATTCATTATGATCAACCATCATTAACAATATCACCGCCAGAAAAATTTATGGTTCATGAGAAAAGAAAAAAAACTTGCATATCGTAGCACATAAAAAAGTTCATTCTATTTATAATTTCAAGTATTTTTAACGAGTTTTGTAAACTTCTCGTATTTCTGTAGTGATTCAACATATATGCGGAGAAGTCGAACTCATGATGGAATTACCCAAACGGATACCTACCATTTGAGCTCGTAGTAGATCTACAAAGATGTTTTGACGAGACTAGCAAATGTCTAAAAGGTTTTGTCTTCATGGTCCTTTTGAGCCAAATTATGATTTCCAACAAACATGGTCGTTTGTCACAGAATCGAGTTTACTTGAAAATTCAATATCTCGACAAGGAAACATTCTTTTTGGCTTAAACTTTTAGGATGTTCTACTAATCATATGATCTATTTATGGACAAAATTTCATAACGAAATACTGACTTTTGATTTTTCGGTATTTGAACTGGATTGAAAATTCAGTAAAATAATTATAACTCAGCTTCAAAAGCCTCTGCAGACGAGCCCTTTTAGACTTTCTCTAATCTTATCAAGACCTTCTTGTGGGTCCAATACAATCTCAAATGGCTGGCTAATATCAGTTCGAGTGATTTCTTAGTCAAACATTTTCATGACTTTTAACGACTCTCATATATCTCGAGCATACAAAAAATGGTAGTCAGAATATTTTATTCATTTCATGCAATACAATCAACTAGACTACTTATCATCTTTCAAATCGAAAATTTTTGTTTTTTGTTTTACTGGTTTTCTTCCCAAAAATAGTACAATAATGTTGTATCATTCAGAAAAAAGAGGCATCCGATGAAATGAAAGACATTTTAAAACTCGTTTAATGATTGAAATATTTGCAAAACTTGTAAATATATTTAACAACAATGACTGAATAATGGCTAACATCATTATTACATATAATTAGCGGTTTGTTTTTTCTTTGGTTTAATTCAACAAAAATATTCATTTTGAACGATGCTAAAAATAATATATAAAGGTGAATAAGTACAAAAAGCAAAGAAAAAAAAAAGATGTGTGATACAAAGAAAATAAAATGAGTATCGATAAACATCGATTTATTATTGTTTACCGCCCAACACAAAAAATCACGTGTTTTATATATATACATATCATTTTAAATAAATATTGTACCTTTTATCGTAATGATAGAAGATAAAAGAAACAAAAAAAAGAACAAATCTTTTCTCGCACTCTATAATTTAGTTTATATGAATGAGTGACTATTTTTTGATTGATTCATTTGAATAGACTCATTGACTTCTCTCAATTATTGATTTAATTATATTAAAATGGAGAATAATGATACTAATGCGACCAATATTGATGATAGTAGTTCTATTTCAACAGTTCATATTTATCAAATAGTTCTTGGTTGTTTGACATTTTTTCTTGTTTTACCATTTGTTTTAATTCCTTTCAATCGTTATCCATTGGGTAGTACTGGAGCTGTCTTAGTTGGTGCTTTTCTTATGGTTGTTACAACTGTTGTTGATCAATCAGATGTTTATAAAGTTATTGGTGATGTTAATAATTTAAAAACAATATTTCTTCTATGGGGTATGATGATTATATCATCATATTTTGAACGTGAACGTTTAATTGATCATTTATTAAATAAACTCTTTCCATTTGAATGCTCATTCTATTGTTGGCTTTTTCGTTTAAGTATAGTTGATTCATTTCTTGCTGCTTTATTCACCAACGATGTTGCTTGTGTAATACTCACACCATTAGTACTTAGCAAATGGATTGATCAAAAACGAAATAAAAATGAACTGAATACTTTACTCTTAGCTTTAGCTACTCAGGCAAATATTGGTAAGTTCGACAGCACCTTTTTTTTTTGATGACTTTATCATTTAGAATACCGATTATTAATAAAAATCAATAGGAGAAGAATTTTACTAACGATGGAAGATTCTCAAGTATGAATCTGCGTTTTCTATTAGCTTCATGTTAGTTTGTAGAGTTCAATGAACTAATCCATAATAACGTAAATTGTTCTTCTTGATAAACTCATTTCAATGTCAGAAACACGATTGTAAGCTGCTATCTTGGAAATTTCTAATTTTTATGTTAGTCTTAGTTCTAACGATGAAACATTTCTAAGTGTCAAATCGATTTTGAATCTGAACTATGTGCATCATGTAGTTTCTAATGAGCTATGAATACCCTGAAAAGACTTCGAGCTGATAGTCTATTACTACCGAGATACTGTATTTTTACCAGAGTACTGTACCCCCTCCCCCTTCAGAAACACAAGGAAAACTAAGTTTCGAATTTCGACTTGAAACTTTGCATAGAGATAGGCATTCACGAGAATAGCTTAGTTTGAAAGTTTCAGATATTTCGATTGGATCTATTTTGAGATAAGAACATCGGAATTTGTCGTTATATATAAGCAGCGTGAAAAACATGCTTTTATCATAGCCATATTTTAGAATAGAAGTAATCAGAAGATCTGAAAATTTTACAATAAGCTATTCTCATTAGGTCTCTCTTTATACAAAGTTTCAAGTCGAAATTCGAAACTCAGTTTTCCTTGTGTTGCTGAAGGAGATTGTAGCATTCTGATAAAAAAAAATACAGTATCTCGATCGTAATAGACTATTAGCTCGAAGTCTTTTCAGGGTACTCATAACTCACTAGAACCTACATGATGCAAATACCTCTGATTCAAAAGCGATTTGACACTTATAAACGTTCCCTCGTATGCATTCAAAGTTTTAACACTGGATGCATCTTAATTGACTGTAGACATTTACACAATCTACATAAATAAAAGTCCTATGTACGTCTAAATTTTGAATAATTCAATACTATTAATAGAGTGGGTGTACAGAATTGATCTAATTTGAATTGTATGTTGATTTATTTATGACATAAATTAAACAGTCATTTTTTCTGGCATTGAGATCGATCTAACTCCTTAACGACAGTCTATGAGGAAGGATGCATCATTTCATCGTGAACAGCTCATCGAACTCTACAATCTAGCGTGAAGTCAATTGAAAAACAAAGACTCATACTTGGGAAACTTTCATTGTAGAACTTTTGTTCTTATTATCAATTTAACGTATATTGGATAAGAATTTTGTTCAAGTTTTACAAAAAAAGCTCATTTAAATTTTGTTTTTTTTTGATATTACAAGGACCTGTTTTGATCAAGAATAAGTTTAGAAGAATTCGTTTGAAAATTTTTCCATAATATAGGCATGATTTCATCTTGTTAAATAAATTGAACAATTTAAGTGTTCGTTTTGCATATTACCATTTAATCGACATTAGATCATGATTATTATTTTTTGTTCTTATTATACATTTAGGAAGCACACTAACGATTTTCGGCAATCCTCAAATGGCTTTAATAGCATCTAAATCAAATGCTTTTGTTGATCGTCATAGTCGATTTGAATTAAAAACATGTGTCGAATATTTATGGATACCAGCTTTTATTGTTTGGTTATTCAATTTAATTTTTCTTCTAATACATTATCATTTAAATCAATGTCAATCAAATCAAACATCATGCGAAGATGAACCAGAGGAAACATCCGTTGTTGAGCAATCAGTGAAACAAGAACAACCATCAATCTTTACAACCACAAGCACAATAGAATTACCTCGATTCACTGAACGTTTTCGACTAAGACGACTAGAAGGCACATGCGAACAAAGACCATCTATATTATTTAAAAAATCCCCATTAATGGTTGATCGAAGCGTTTCAGTTGCTTCATTTCCTAGTTTAGACGAAGAGATTAGTGAAAATGACAATACTTTTCAACCATCTCAATCTCGATTTTTTAAAGTTATTCTTTCCATACTACTTATAACTGTGATTGCATTATTATTTGCTTCAAATGACAAAGTTAATTTTGATATCGGTATGTTGTTTGAATACTAAGTGTAAATAGTCAGACAAGACGCCTAAAAATAAAATAACTAATACTTAAGGCATAAGTTTTTTTTTCACGATTAGTTCTTATCAAAGAAAATAGAATTAGAAACTTTGAAATATTGTTTTTGTTTTTCATATTATATTTAATTTAGGTTTGGTTCCTACTGGTGCAGCCATCATTCTATTAGTTGCTGATACTCTAATCAATCATCGACCTCCAATACTTATGCTAACTCGAATAGATTGGAATGTTCTTCTTCTCTTTTTTGGCCTTTTTGTTTGGCTCAATGGACTTAATTCGACTGGTATTCCTCATCGTATCTGGTGAATATTTATTCAAAGAAAAAAAAAAATTTTTTTTTTGATAATTTTTTTTCTATAGGGTAGCACTCAATCGTGATTCAGCCTCGTTAACAAATATTAAATCCCTTTTACTGTTCTTTATATTTATTCTCATTGGTAGTAATATTTTTTCCAATGTTCCATTAACTTTACTTGTTCTTGAACAAGTTCCACGTGCAGGTGATCATCTCGGTTTGGTATTATACCTTTCTTTTCTCACAACAATTGCTGGTAATCTAACTCTTTTTGGTAGTGTAGCCAATTTGATTGTTACTCAAAAAGCTTTAACAAGTTCCCTTAAACATCGATTCAGTTTTTGGACTTATTTCAAATTCGGTTTTCCAACTACTATTTTACTCAGTCTTGTCGGAATGTTTATTATCTATGGTTTACTTCAAGTTATTCATTAAAATTTCCCAATATGAGCCAAAAGTCACTTTACTCAAGCAAACAAAACAAAAGCTAACGATGGGTGCGACGAGTGGTCGAAACTTCATATATATATTTTTTTTTTCTCGTTCTGTTCAATATTCGAGCCCCTAGGTACCCATCGAATATCGACCTCTTGGAAACATACTCCTATCGGACATTTATTTGCGGCTCCTCGAATACATTTCGACCACTCGAGAGCCATCGAATTACCGACTACTCTGAAAGGAAAAACCCATCCAACAACTACTTTTGGTTACTGGATATAATTTCGAGCATTCCGAGCCTATCGAAATTTTGATTACTCTCTCTCAGCAAACCTAGCGACGAAACAGTTTTCATTATTCAATTCAATTTTGATGAGCTGAAACTTCTTAAAATTCAGTTTTTTTAGTGATTCTCCACTTTGATTTGGTGATCTCATCCAACCAACTTTAGTTCGCTGGACACTTAAAAATAATTACCATTAGAATACTAATCACATTCTGGATTGTTCCTTGAGTTTAAAAGGTTATTCTTTTATATGCACATGTCGTATTGAAATTACAATGGCCGTCGAAGTTGCAAGTTCGAAAGGCATTGTTGCCTATCGAACTTGTAACTTCGACGGCCGTTGTAATTTCGATACGACATGTATATACATGGCTATGCACTAGTCACCTGTTTGGCATGCTAGATACAATAAGAATAGCTATATGACGATGTTCACCCTACGCTTAGCTTTTTTATCTTATAAAAACTGATATCTAACATTGATATTAATCTATTTATTATTTCCAGATTATAAGCAATGAATCCAATATATGTAGTTAAATTTGGTGGAAATGAAGTAAGTTTTGTACCGCCAAGCTGCATACACTCAGCAAAAAACGCGAAAATGAAAGTAAATGTTGATTATTTATCTGTTGATAAAAATGATAGACATCGACGTCTTCGAGGTAAACTCCTGTTTAAAGGTAAGATTAGATAAAACCATATATTTACTTGTATACTATATCATATTCTTCTTGACGACTATTGATAGAAACATTCGAGAAATGTGAAGAATATTGTGGGGGTGATACTTCTTTAACAGTTGATAAGTCAACAAGGTTGCCTACTATTGTCTCCGAATCCAATGCCAATAACAAAGTAATGAGATGTACAATATTTGAACAAAAAAAGCGAAAAAATGAATCAAAAGAACCTGAATTTACTGGAAAGCAAATGAAAACAAATTCGTCAATTGTGATTGTTAAGAAATCAACTCAAATTGATAAAACAACACAAAACAATCAACAGAATGCATTTGATAATCAAAAACGACAACCTAATGAAAATAATACCAATGATCAACCTGAATCATCCGCTTCAACTACGGAATCTTCAATCATTGTAAGCCTTTCTAATAACGATTCCCTTGACAATAATAGGTCGTCAAAATGTTCAGCTGATTTGAATCAATCTCAACAACGAACAAAATTAACAGGAATTGATCGACAAGAAAATGACACTATTTCCAATGATAATATAGAAGCGGATGATGAATTAATTTTACCTCGTCATATTCAACTTGAATTAAAGAGTAATAGAAAACGAATTCTTGATCTGGAAAATCAATTGAAAGAATTGAAACATACATCCGTTCGTAAGTTATTTTTTGTTAATTAATTTGGGTCAGTAAAGATATTTTTATTAATTTTAGCATTTCCAACAACTGAAAAAGGTGATTATTTGCGCCGTGTGTTGAATGTTGTTGATATGCATGATGAATTAGCACAAACAAGAACAATTAATGTGAGTTAATTTTAATACGATATTAGCATTTTTTATTGTTAATTTCTCGTTTTTCGATTTAGTATGGGCAACTGTTAGGTCTTACTAATTTTGAATTATTAGAAGCAACTGGTAATGGACGATTACCATGGAAAAAAATTGTTGTCAGTTTAATACAAGCTTGTTTCAAGAATGTAGATTTGCAATATGAAAATTATACATCACTTCGAGCTCGTAATAAAGATTTGATTGATAATATTTCAGGTGAAAATCATAAGCGAAAATTTTGTTTTCAATATCTGCTAGTATAGATAACTTTCATTTCATATCAATGTAATATTAGTAGAAGAGCACTTATTTTTTGTATATATGAAAGTTTTTTATACATTATCTCATCTATTTTAGCTTATGTCAAAACTGTTTGTCCTACTGCTGTGTTCACCAATACAGAATTTTCAGGTTGTATTACTGGTAAATGTCATAATATGAAATGTGATAACAAGAAAAAAGCCAATAAACTCGCTTCTCTTTAAATGTTTCAACAACAAGATGATAATCTTATGGTTGTTACTAATAATAAAATATTACATTTATGATGTAATCAGAAACAATATGTTGTCAAGTAAATAAACAATATTTTTATTAAGCAGTAT